AGGCAAAGGTACAATCCAAAAGTACTGATGACGAAAAACCTCAAGTTCCTTTGTTTAGAGGATGTGCGTAGCCAAGCATTGAATCAATATGGACTGTTTCTCTTAAAAATGTAAATTATTGTAAGAAAAAAGAGTTCTTTTTAGAGGGGCTTTTATGAGTAGGTAGTGCTGTTTTGGCTTTCGTATTGGGAATTTTGTTTCTATTCAGTCTGAATTCTGTGATGGGGTGATTGAAGCTAAACAAAGTGGATACTTTTTGGAAGAAAAAGAACAGAAGCAGATGGTGAGGGGGAGAAAGTAAAAATAGGAAACACAAAGCAAATATATTGTTAGAGATGCTCTTTCTCTAGTGAAAATACACTAGTTTACTGGTTTGGTTAGTCGGCTTGTTTGACTGTTCCTTTCAACTGTTTTTTTTACTTCATGTTTTCTGCATGAAAGTTTTTACTGCATGTTAGGTACTACCCAGCATAATTTACTTTTTGATATAAAAAGTTATTCTTTGCAGATATGATAACTTAGATAAAAGACTGAAGATAGGAAGCTCATGTGAAAGAATTTAAATGTGATGAATCATCCTCATCAGTGATCGATAAACTTAAGAAATTCTACTTTTATATGGTTTACACAGATCAAGATGCAATGAGAATGCAGGTCTTGCTAGACTTCTATACAGCTAATTGTTCTGAAAATCTCTTAGCATAGAGTAGCTACTGGTTTATCTCATGAAGGCCTAAATGACTGGGAGCTCAATTTTGAAAATGAGCATGCTGTCTTAAAGTCTACACCTCAAACCTTTATTTCAATCTATCTTTTGTGTTCTGTTCTTAATAAATTGGGTTGCATTCAAAGCATTAAAGATTTTAACACTGGCAAAGGCTCTTGCTGGGATGAATTGTGTGATGATAAACCTTGTGGTTTTTAACTTCAGTCTTCGTTCTCTATTAAAAAGTTGCCATTGAATGTTTCAGGTTAGAAGGGAAACAGACTGGTTACAGCTATTGATGATGAGAGAGTTGGTCTTTATGGGGGACTAATTAATATAACTGCTGTGCTGTATTTTTTAATGGGGTATCAGTATTGCACTGGAACATGGTGTCATAAATCACTTTTGCCTAGGAATAACACTTTCATAAAAAATGGCTCAAAAACCAAAGTGAAGAATCACTATGGTGGGATATTATTAAGCCCAAAATATTAAGTGGGGTCTAAAATGGATTCAGTTAATCGAGTATGGGTCTTTCCATGCCTGCCTAATGTAATGGTTTGGATTCATGCTCGTCTTCAAAGTCCTTAAATCACTGATAACCAGAAACTGGGAAAATATACCAGCTAAAGGGACAAGCATCCCCATGCATTCTGAAAAAAGGGTACTTAAATAGATAAACTTAGTCTCTGTGTGGTTTTTATTCTATTACATAGATAAAGTACTTACTGTATGAAGAAGTTTGCATTAGCATTTCCTGGGAGCAGTTTCTCAATGGCACCTCACAAATATGTATAAAACATGAAATAAATGGGGTATTTAAACATATTGCTGGGTTTACTGATTACTCTTGTAGCAACATGGGACATTTTATACTGAAAATTACATGCTTTAGGAGACAGTAACCTTCACAAGTTTGTAAGGTGCATTATTGCTATGCTTATATCTGGAAGCTAAATATGCAGGAGCTCAAAGATATTTTGTTCTGGAAACTAATGAAGTACAGTAAAATACTTAGCAGCAGAAAGGTATATCCAGGATTTTCTGTGAGAAGTTGATGGTAAGAGGAGCGAGTGAGTTGAAGTAATGTAGCAGAGAGATGGCTGTGATCTATATAAACCTCCGAAATTCTTTCCTGCATGGCTGCAGTTGCCGTTCAGGAGGAGGCAGTGCGTTGCACCTGGTGCCCTCAGTTACATTTCTTCGCATTGCTGTGGAGGAAACTGAACTTTAACCTTTGCTGAGCCTGGGGTATTGGCTTGGAAATGTCATTCCTAAGTGACAGCTGCTGCTTTATAACCTACACTTCACTGTACTAGGAATGCATGTTTATTAAAGGTCTTGTGTGAAACAGTTCAGAGGCAAAATATTAACCTTACTGATATGGATGTCCAAATGGTAAAATCAACATTAATACAAATATCGGTGGGATTAAAAGCATTCTCTTGGTGTGTCTATCACACAGCCAGAATCGGCTGAAGCAGGAGAAATTAATACTGGTTAGCAGAGCTCCTTAATGAGAGGAACAGAAAAAACCCACAAATATAGCAAGATACATTAACTTAAAAGCCTTGATTTTATCTTATCTATTAATTCATTATTGAGAACACAGACATGCACTTTATTTTAAATGCTATTTTTAACATTACCTGCATGCATAACAGCAGTAGCTAGCTTAATTTACTAACATCATAAAAGGTGAGTCATGGCATATTTTCTTTCAAAATTACTTGGTAGAAGTCAGTGTTGTTAGTAACCCCTCACTTCTCCCAGCAGCTTTGTGATTTCAAGATAAACAGGAACTTACAAGCACACAAGAGCTTTTAGTGGTTAACACAGTTCCATTATTTGGGATGTGAATCTACTTATACAGACAATAACTGTATTTGTGAAAGCAATCAGAAGAAATAAGGATGAAAAGCCTCTTTAATAGCCCTGTTTACCTGGAAACAGTATGACCAAGTATGTGTTTTACAGAAGTAATGGTGATAGAGGAGGAATTATCTTATATTTAAATGAAAAGGGTAAAATACAAGAAATTATATACATGTATCACTGAGAATTTGTGCACGTATAATTATGCTACAATAATTCTTTAAAAACTTCTCTACACACACTGACATGTGTCATGAAAACCTGCTTGCATAGTCTTGTTGTAAATGATAAAAGATGGTGAAGTGTATTTCAGGATGTGATGGCTCTTTTTCTTCAGTTCTTTATTTCCAAGTTATGTAAATGTTGGGCAAAAAACAGACAAAATAGCCTGTTTCCATGATTCAGCAGGTGCAAATGAATGTTTCTATAAGCCCACAGTCATCTACTAGTTCTTATGCTAATTTGTTTACTTGGTTACTGTGAGTCTACTAAAACTGACAGTAGACATAATAAAAAATAAATTGGCAGGAATTGTCCCTCTCATTGTTTGGATAAAATTGTCCATGAATATGGGTACCTACTTAGTCCACGGTTTTAGTTATTTATTTAAAAATGCAGTACATGTAGGCAGAAGTGTGGAGGTGCCAAGAGGTAGTATGCAGTGTTATTACCTTAAGATGTACGGTGTTATTATAATACTTTGTGACCACGTGGATTCCAAGTTTACCTTGCGTTTTCTTTTTCCTTGTGTCACTGACTTGCATTTCCCTTTCAAGGTAAGTCAAATTACAAACATTTTCTGCTCTTCAGATGAGGATTCTAGTCTTCTCTCTAAATCTGGCCTTTCAGAAGGTAAAATTATAGAGTATTTTTGCAATTCACACTGGGAACTGTTGCTTGGAAAAAGCGTGGTTTTGTTGTTTGTAACAGATTTGCTTTAGTTGGTTATTAAATGTTACCCGATTCCTCTCAGCTTCAGTAACTTGCAGACCCTTGTTTCTACCTCCGCACCCCTCAATGTTCTTTCAGCACTGCGGCTGTAGTTCCTCGCACGGTGTAACGCTGCCAATAGGTTTTAACCCGTCTCCTTACAACTGGTACTCGCCCTTCGCAGTCCCACCGGGACAAGGAACACTCAACGAGGGCTCTTCCCGCGGGGGACCTGCGGGCTGGCGGGGCACAC